TCAGATTTGCTTGGGTATTACGAGAGAAGGTCGCAAGGTGTGATCGAAAAAGAGAAGGGCGAGGGGGGACATGATAGCAGTGCTCCAATATCTCAGGGGCTGCCACAAAGAAGAGGGAGTCAAGCTATTTTCCAAAGATCCTGAAGGCAAGACAAGAAGCAACGGGTGGAAACTAATCAAGGAGGGAAGCAAACTAGAACTAAGGAGAAACTTCCTGACAGTTAGAACAATTAGCCAGTGGAACAACCTGCCTCCAGAAGCGGTGAATGCTCCAACACTGGAAGTCTTTAAGAAGAGACTGGACAGCCATTTGTCCAAGGGGGTTGGTCTAGAACGGGTAGGCAACCTTGGCTCTTTTATGACTCGTGGACTTCAACTCCCAGAATTCCTGAGCCAGCATGGCTCAGCTTGGAAACTTCTCCCTTTTCCCTCAACATGGCTGGCTCAGGAATTCTGGGAGTTGAAGTCCACGAGTCATAAAAGAGCCAAGGTTGCCTACCCCTGGTCTAGAAGATGACCTCCAAGGTCCCTTGCAGGGGGTTGGACTATTGAGCAGGCGGTTGGACTAGATGACCTCCAAGATCCCTTCCAACTTTATTATTGTTGTTGTTAACTTAAAAACGGGGGGGGGTTCAATTGGGCCGTCGTGGAAACCATTTTTGACTTCTTTTTTTTTTTTAAACCACACCCGGAGAAAATCGCTGGGAGATTGGGAAGACCGTTCTTCGGGAATGGCGCGGAGCCTCCCCTCACATCGGCCCTTACTGGCTGAGGTTCATGGTAGTAGGAGTCCAAAAAATTGTGGTTATCGTGCTCCCCCCCACCTTTGTTCTAAGTGTTGGGTTGTTGTTGTTGTTTAAACACTGCCTTCTCTTTGTGTAAGAAGAGCAAGAACCGCAGTTTGAGATAAATTAACCGACCGTCCATTTACAGAGGCCCAGCCTGCGCGTAGCCGCCGCCGCCGCCGCCGCCTCCTCCTCCTCGTCTTCCTCCGCCCCATTAAGTCACAGACTCAAAAGTGCCCGTTGATTATTACTTCGGGGCTACACACGAGAAGAGCCAGAGTCCGTAATCAAAAATATCTCCAGAAAGGACCGCTCGGCCACATCTGACATCCCACCCTCGGTTCGAACGCGACCGCATCAAAGGGCCCCGTTGATGTTGTTTTAAGTTGGCCAGACAACTTACCGCGCGCAAAAGGGAGATTTTTTTTTTAAGGGTGTTTGTTTGTTTATTTTTTGAGTGGGTGTATAGAAATAAAGCGGTCTAATTGGAACAAGAACTGCGGGCTGTTCAGGCGGGTTAGCCCTAGGTCAGGGGTAGGCAACCTTGGCTCTTTTATGACTCGTGGACTTCAACTCCCAGAATTCCTGAGCCAGCTATGCTGGCTCAGGAATTCTGGGAGTTGAAGTCCACGAGTCATAAAAGAGCCAAGGTTGCCTACCCCTGCCCTAGAGGGAGAAACAGACCACAGAGTGGAATCTGGGTTTGCTTGCTTGTTTGTCGTCTGGACGGTCGCGATGGAAATAACGCTGCGCTGGACTCAGGAATTCTGGCTCAGGAATTCTGGGAGTTGAAGTCCACGAGTCATAAAAGAGCCAAGGTTGCCTACCCCTGGCCTAGGTGACTTAAGGGCGTCAGGACTGCAAACTCCGCGCTCTTTCCTTGGAGACAAAATCCTTTCTGGGGCGGACGGGGGGGGGGGGGGACCACAAGCCTCCTTTGTAAGGCTGCCCAGCTAAGAGCTGGTTGTACTGGCTCTGTTCGATGCTGAAGGCAGCAAAGGTTGCGGAGCGGCGACCATGTAAACACAGGGAAACACCGGTGACAATGCGCTCCAGAGACGCGCCTTCGGAGTCCCCTTTCATAAGAGTAACAGGGAGATTTTTTTTTTTCACCCAGCCTTCCGGGCAGCTTTCTCCGTCGAAAGGCCTTGGGACCACAAATCATCCTCCAGTCGCGTTGCATTGTAAGGCTTTCGGTTCATTTGAGAGCCAAAGCTGGTGTAGAAATGGATTCGGGCTGGCGCTGGTGGGGAGGGAGTGGGGGGGGGCGGCAAAAAAAAAAAAAAAACTTTTGCGAAGCAAAAAAAAAAGATCTGCTGCCCATTTCTCACCGGGATCCGTGCTATTGAGTTTCCACGCCACCCTGAGACGGGATCCCTATATTTAAAGATGGGAGGGGGCGGGGGAGGAGGAGGAGGGGGAAGAGGGGGTGTGTGTGTTTAGACAATGCCTTTTGAATGCGCTTTCCCAACCTTTCAAAAACGTTCGTGATAGTGCCCCTGCTAGCGCTGGTAACCAGATACGGCTGCTATCCGTTTTACATCCCAGTTGTTCTGAGGAAGAAAGAAGATATTTGTTGGTGTTTCTCTCTGTGTGTTGTGCTTGTCCGAGCCAGTTTTTGAACCAGTGGGAAAGACGTATATATATATTTTAATGTTGTTAACTTTAGGTAGGATTACACACCAATACGTGCGTGTATATATACATCTTTCCATAATAAAAATATTTTTAAAAAACGTTAAACCAAGTGCTTATCAAACTGGCCACTTCCATAACATCAAAATTTCAGTGAAATATTGTGTGTGTGTGTGTGTGTGTGTGAGAGAGAGAGAGAGAGAGAGAGAGAGAGAGAGAGAGGGAGGGAGGGAGGGAGGGAGAGAGAGAGGGAGGGAGAGAGGGAGAGAGAGAGAATATGGGAGGGGGGACACGGAGAATGAATATATATGTATTGCCTGGACTTTTATGTTTAAATTTTGCATTTGGATTATTTTTGCTTGGTCTAGGAAGCAAACAAGGTTTTTAAGGCTCCCTCCTCCTAACCCCCAGCATGCACTCTCTTTATATGTACACAGTACTTTAATGTCTTGAATGTCCTTAATTTTAATATAGGTATGCATATATTTTAAGACACCACTATGTCTTTATATGTACACAGTACTTTAATATCTTGAATGTCCTTAATTTTAACATAGGTATGCATATATTTTAAGACATCCCTATGTCTTTATATGTACACAGTACTTTAATATTTTGAATGTCCTTAATTTTAACATAGGTATGCATATATTTTAAGACATCCCTATGTCTTTATATGCACACAGTACTTTAATGTCTTGAATGTCCTTAATTTTAATATAGGTATTCATATATTTTAAGACACCACTATGTCTTTATATGTACACAATACTTTAATATCTTGAATGTCCTTAATTTTAACATAGGTATGCATATATTTTAAGACATCCCTGTGTCTTTATATGTACACAGTACTTTAATGTCTTGAATGTCCTTAATTTTAATATAGGTATGCATATATTTTAAGACATCACTAGTAGAGAAAACTAAATTGGCTGAGCAAGTCATCCAACCCCTCAAGTGTTTATAATAGACATCTACTTCAAAGTATTTAGCGTATCTTTCTAGTTAAATTATAGCATTAGGAGTTCAGCCACATTTTTGAATATGTTGGGACAAATACCAATTAGGGTTTATTGGGAGAACATTGGTTAAGAATCAATTGTTATTGTTCAAGATTCGGCGTATTAATGGCTTAAAACCATAATTTTCTTTTGAGATTTGTATGAAGGGTTTAAGTGCTGACAAGCAAACCTTAAAGAGATTATTTTACAGTGAGTTAGGTAAAAGGCTGAAAGATTAAATCGAATGTAACATCAACATCCATCTAATTATAGCTGTGTAATTTTTGCAAATGTATGTGTATGTATATGTGTATGTATATATGTGTGTGTTTCCCTAGCAAAATGAAAAAAAAAAAAAGTGGCTAAAGTTGTAGAGCTTGAAGTATTTTCTTCCTGCGTTCAAGATAAAAGGAAACGGTTTAAATCACCCAAAGCGACTTCTGTCTGTGTGAAGTCTCCAAGTGTGGGTGTTTGGTGGTTTTGTTTTTCTATCCGCCTCCCGAGATGGCAGACAAAACCTCTTTCTTATGCTTCCTTTTCGTTTCAAAAGTATATTTTTAAAAGCTCCTTGTACATCACTCATCCACATCACTCATCCGACACACTGGGCGAGCTGGGAAGGGGAGCAGGTCACGTCCCCTTCTTGAAGGTATCTAACATCGGGGACGCCTCTGATCTTTGGGTCTGGAGGCGGTGTTTGTTTCGTTTGTCTTAGGAACGGTCCAAGGAAGAGGAAACAAACCGACCCCTGGGTTGCTGCAGTGTGTGTGTGTGGGGGGGGCTGAACGGGGGTAAGTGGGCGAGAGGGATATCTGCCACGGACCATCCCTTGGCACACGTGGGCGCGCGTTTGCGCGTGAACCGACGAAGTGCAAAGGCGTCCAGATCAACAGAGGGATTTTCTTCCCCCCCCCCCCGCAACTCGGCTGCAGAGCAATTATTTGGTACCGAACGCCTTTGCTCTTTACGCACTGTCGAAATTTCCCCTTCGTCTCTCTGGGGAATTTAGGTGCCCTCTCCCCGCCCCCCGTTGCCCGCCCCCCCAGTTTCCTCTCCTTCCCCTCTCTCCTTCTTCTCGCCCCCTCTCTCTTCTCTCTCCTCTCTTTCTTCTCTCCCTCCCTCCCCCTCTTCTCTCTCTCTCTCTCTCTCTCTCATTCAAGAGTCCTTGAGACCGGTACCCTGGCCGCAGCTTCTCCTCCTACCAATTCTAAGAGTCGAGACTTCCTCGGCATCTTTCAATTCACTCAGATCTAAAGCAGATTTGGGTCTTTAGGTTGGGTGGGGGGGGAGGGAGGGAAAAAGGAGGAGGAGGAGGAGGAAGAGGAGGGGGAACCAAATCGACGCTGATTGAAACAAATAAACAAACAAACAGCCCCCCCCCCTCCTCCCGCATGTCCCCCGCGCTCCCAGCGAAAGCCGCAGCCACCAAGGACGAGTAGCCCAGTCGTCCCGAGGGGATCCGGTGCGCCCTGTGCCACTCCGTCGGGCTGCCTCCTTTCCAGCTCAGACCTCTTGAATGGCTCCGGCGGGGCCGTCCTCCGCTCCAAGCTGAGCGCCGCCTCGGCCATCATGCACCATGGTGACCACCTGGCTCGTCCTGCTGAGTCTTTTGCAGGCGCCGGGCTTCCTCGGGCTGGCGGCTGCCGAGCTGCCCTCGCCGGCTCCCGCCTGTGTCCGGGAAGGGCAGGCGTGCGACCCGCGCTGGCGCAGAGATGCCGGCGGGCGCGGCGGCGTTTACGAGCATCTCGGCGGAGCGCCCCGGCGCAGGAAGCTCTACTGCGCCACTAAGTACCACCTTCAGATCCACGCCAGCGGCAAAATCAACGGCACCTTGGAGAAGAACAGCGTTTTCAGTGAGTACCCCGGGAGGGCTTCTCTCCCGTCCCCTGCCCGCTAAGTCTTAGCCCCCTTTGCTCTCGCTCCGAGCGTTGAACCGAAGACCCCGGGGCGCTTGGTGGGGCCCAGGCAGCGGCGTTTCTGTCCTCCTCCGATGCCTGGGCTGAAGTGCCGTTCGTTTATTTCATATATACGTATATATATATATATATTTGTTGTTGTTAATTGCGAAGTCGTGTCCGACCCATCGCGACCCCATGGACAACGTTCCTCCAGGTCTTCCTGTCCTCTACCATCTTCTGGAGTCCATTTAAGTTCACACCTACTGCTTCAGTGACTCCATCCAGCCATCTCATTCTCTGTCGTCCCCTTCTTCTATTGCCCTCCATCTTTCCCAGCATTAGGCCCTTCTCCAGTGAGTCATATATATATATAAATCGTCGCCTGTCTGTTCAGGGGCGCTCAAGGCGCTTTGCAGCTCTCCCGTAAGAAGTTCGCGTCGCAGGCGGTCGTTGGATTAACTTTGTAGGAAAGTCTATTCGGGCCCGGAGTAAGGCAAAGCGGCTCAGGTTTACCGCTTGAGAGACGGTGCCAGCCAAGACCGCGACTTAGCCTAAAGCCAGACTGAAGCCACGACGAACATTCAGAGCCTGCCCGATCCATACCAAAGGCGATCTCTAGGCAAGGTGTAGTTAGCCTGGATGATTTAACCAGAGACAATGCGTTTTGCAGCCAGGAAGTTTTAGTGAGGCTGGGAGAGAAAAATTCCCAGGGTTTCAATTCCGCTTGAGCGTACTGGGGAGAAACAACTGGGAAAGAAATTCTTGGAATAAAGGAACAAATAGAAAACCCCAAATCCAGCAAATATGTTCCCCTCAGGAAATTTAGAATAGTTCAGACGTTAGCCTTCTTGGTACCCACTGAAGGCAAAAAGATCAAGAGAATGTGTGTCAGGATAATCAGACCTCCAGATTGACCTTGCCAGGCAGTCAGGAACCTCCCAAACATGACAGTCAAGTCAAGAGAGGCTTGTCCTAACAGCAGAGAAGGTTGCTGTCTTCAAACTATTTAACACTGTTTCTTATTTCTGGAGCAACTAAAAAAGCTTCTAAGTTACAAGGTTGTTTGTGATTTCTCCTGTTGCCTCACCAATGAAGCAGACCCAGGCTGTTAGGAGCACGGTATACACCAGAGACTTGAAATAACACAGTTTTGCTTGAAAGAGAGTCTTAGAATTTATACTGCTTACCCCCAAAGTCTCAACTATTGTAGAATACCCTGGGAAAGAGTTGGTTTCATTCACAACTATGTCTGAGATTGTAGGTCTTGGTAGCTTTTGAACTATCTTCCTCTATTTCTACTTCTCGCTTGGTATGTAGTGACTATTTTGTGGAAACGTAGGAGCTAAGGTAAAATAGTCCTTGAGGAATGTAGGTATGGAAGAAAGAATTTTTCACTGAATCACAATTTTGACTAGTCTGGTAACACCGAACATCTTGGACCCGATCTCACAATCAACATGGAAATATTATCTGGAGAGGATCCGGTTGAGATAGGCTAGGCTGGTTTGTTGAGGAGAAAAGAAGCTTCTCTCTTGCTTTGGATGAGGAGAATAGAGGGTTAGAAACCATGTTGTGTAACCAGTTTATGTTGTGCACACAGATCCCAGGCTATTCCTTCAGATGCTTGGCTAGAATGCTTGAAGCAGAAAGAAAAAGATTTTCAGGTCTTCTTGAAATAGAACATTGTTCAGTTTGCAGAAGTGGCAAGTAGAGTTCTTGTGGTAAGCCTTTTTCCCCTTTTTGTCCCCGCTCTTAGAAATCTTTGCATTGTACCTCTGCTTTTTGCCTGCTATCCTTTCCCTCTCTCTCTCTAAGGATACAGTTCTGCAGTTGGGAGCCTCAGGTTAAAAAAAAACAACAACCCCCAAAACCTTAAACTCTGGAATTTGCAAAAGACAAGGATAAGTGAGTGGCTGTCACTTGGTTTCTCTGTCCGGAAGGTGTGATTTCCCATGGCTCTTAAAGTCTCTTTAGATCCTCTCTTCCCTTTACGACACAAAGCTGGATACTGGGGGGTGGAGGAGTCAGAGTAACTATCCCAAAAGATGTGTAAATAACACATCAGGATGACTTTCACACTTCAGTCTGTTCATCTCATCCTGGTGTTTGGCTTTCTGTTCCCTCCTTTCCTCCAATTAATCTTGTTCTGTTTGTCTTGGCAAAGTTTGGGTATTTAGGGCAGAGGAAATTATGCCCTGTTTAAGGAAATAGCACTTACCAGCGACAAACCAGTTGTAGAAAACCCTCTTCTCCTTTGCAAGGTAGACAGGGCATTCGGAAATTGGACTGATTGCACACATCGTTCATCTCTTGGCAGCCAAGAATACCTGGTATATATGTATGACAGGCACGGAGGCAGATCTTTCTATCATTTCTAGCAGATCTTCTTATGTACATGTTCACCTCTCAGTTGAAGTATCACTGAGAGCATGATCGAGCCAAAGTTTTAAAACAACAATTGCTACTAATTAAAACCAATTGGAATAGAAAGTGTTTAATGTTTCTGTAGCTCTTCTAAATGATGGAATATAAGGATCTGAACACACATCCAGCTTTTAAGTAGAGGTTACCTTTAAGCTAAACAAAGATGCTGTGAGAGGAGAAAATAATACAGCTTTCTACGGTTGACTTTGTAAAAAGCATCCTTGTATCCCTCTGGGACAGATCTAAACAGAAATGACTGACAATGAATGAAAGAAAGCATTTCCCCCAAACATTTCAGTAGGCCAAATCTCATGTGCATATAGGATTCTCTGTTATATTCTGTTGATATATGCAAGCTGCATTTCAGAATGCACTGCAGAAAAGGGCGCCCTTGAAAGGGAATGTGAAAGTTTTAACTTCAGCCTTTAAGACAGTGTTTCTCAACCTTGACAATTTTAAGGCATGTGGACTTCAACTCCCAGAATTCCACAGCCAGCAATGCTGGCTGTGGAATTCTGGGAGTTGAAGTCCACATACCTTAAAATTGTCAAGGTTGAGAAACACTGCTTTAAGATGTACTGTAGAATAGCTAAATCTTCATTTGGACACTTCAACTTGATCCGTAAGAAAAGGATCTCGTTTGCTCAACGTTTTCAGTTACAGAGATGAAGAAGGAGAGATTAGGAGCTATCTTTGGATCTTCTGAATCTATGGCCTCGTGGATAATTTCACAAATGTAAGCATCAGTGACTGCAGTCTTCTTAAGTGGAGCTTACATATCTGAAAGAACCCTATTGGCTCAAACAATAGCTCTATTAACACTTTAAACATAATAAGTTTAAATGTTGGTAGTCTACATCTATGGCTTAAAATCCAGAAACTGACAGCTGGCAGTCAGTTTTTACCATGAGTGTCCATCTTTTCTGCAGTTCTTTGTATAAAAATATTCCAGGTATACTGTAGATAGGAACATTTTTTCATTTCTTGATGTAACATTGTGTAAACATAGGTGTGCACAATGATGTCTGAATTTGAGGCTGTCTTTCTATCTCTGATACTACTCTATTGCCATAATTTCTGCCAACAGTTATGCCAGTAGCAGAAATACAATTTATATTAAATCCCAATCAGTATAATTTGAAGAAGAGAGTTGTATCCTGAGAGTTGTATGGACATATGTGCTGTGGCCAAGTCATGTTTAAAGTATTAACAGACTTTCAAAGCTTCAGGATTTAAAATGTTGAGTACATGGGACAGTATCAGTGAAAGTGAATTCCTGAAACAGCTGGCGGCATAATTTGAAATGTAAATAATAAATCTCTTCATGTATCATTTCTATACTATTATTTTTTTCTCAAATGTTTGATTATTCCACATAAAATTAAAGATTCTCTCCTCAAGAAATGCCTATAAATGTAATATATAAATGTGAACAGGTATGTAAAAACATGTATCTTTTGACTTTTTTGAAATGACTTTTTATTATGTAGTGTTCTGTGGCCTTAGAATGACACACACATACTCTCTCTGTCTCTGTCTCTCTTCATGTCACCGTGTGTGATATTATTATCAACCCAAATTAATCCTCTGCACAGTATAAGCATTTTCATGAAAAGTTATGGACCATGGTGTCCTGTGCTGGTTCAGTGCCAGATACATATTTCTCAAATTCCAAGTCTAAGACAGAGAGAAACAGGGAGACAATCCAACTTCCATTCCTAAAGGAAGAAATAGAACTAATTAACACTAGTTCTTCTATGTATGAGTGTGACATGTATGTGTGGGGACATAGGTGTGTGTAAGCATGAGCACTAGTTGGAGAACAAGGATTGCCTGTATCTCTATAAATGCTGTACATGCAGACTTTTTTTTGCTATTCATTATAATGTTTAGAACAGTCCTTTGATAAATAATACGTGCAATCTCTCTTGGTTCTTTCATGGGTGAAAAAAGTTCCTTTCTCTGAATTGGAGGCAGACAGCCACTTTGTCCTTTCCCCAAGGATACACTGTTTTCCAACTGACTAACCCCCTTCATTGTCCAAGCTCTTAGATGTGGCAGCCTCTTGTCTTCCTCCATTTTTGCCCTCCAGAAACCTCAACAAGGGTATTGTCCCCAAATGGGCAGCTTTGTGGTTTGTTTCAATAAGTCAAGCACTCCTGGACTCCTAAGAAAGGCATTAAAGGGGATTTAAAGTTTTTATAGACATATAGGATTAGGTGAACCTCTAGTTCAATGTCAGAGCCTTTCTTCTTCTTCTTCTTTTTTTGAAACAGTTCAGTCTCAATCAAATAGCTGTGGATTTACTAGTAAGGGTTTGTTTCTAACAATTCCCGTCTTATCGTCTAGAGTGTTGTCATTTTCAATCATCCGGATTTGATTATGAATGTAGGAGTAAATGCTGGTATGTTGTGCGGTGGTGTTATTAAGCATAATGATTTCCACATGGAAGTAACATTTAAGATAGTTTAATATTACTAGCTTAAGAGTCAAGGGGGAAAAAAACCCTGGGTCCAAATTCCTGCTCAGTTCAAGTGTCAGCCAATAGTACATTATTTTCATTTTTTTTCTTGTATTAAAATGGGAAGATGTTTCAACTCTATTGGAGAGACAGTGGGAATAAAAGGGATTTAAAGTACTTTGCATAAAGAAATGCCAATTCTGAAGATTTTGGTTAGGATTCAAAATGTTGGTCTAATGATACTCAGAAGGCTAGGCTGCCTTATCATTTGAATGGTGGGGAATGTTTTACAAAATAAACAAAAACTTAGAATATGAAACAAAAATAGTCCAATGAAATCCAGTGGGCTCATTTCTGAGTAAAGGTATAGGATTTCCCTCTGATTTCTTTGACATGTAGTATTTCAAGTTTCTAAAATGTGTAAAATAACAACAATGCTAATATAAAACAAAATCATACATATGTGAACCATCTGAATAGATCTTATATTTTCCTTTTAGGTATTCTGGAAATAACTGCAGTGGACATTGGGATTGTTGCTATCAAAGGCTGTTTTTCAGGCAGATACCTGGCCATGAACAAAAGAGGCCGACTTTATGCTTCAGTAAGTACTATTTAAAACAGAGGCATCTTAACTATTGCAAGCCAGCTGAAGCATCCTCCACTAGAGTGCCCATCTTTTTCAATGGGGATTTAAAGTCCATTGTAATCAAAAGGGCAGAAATACTGGGTGCCTATGGAGGAACATTTGTAAAGAACAAAAATATGTGCTTTGGTTTTATTTGGGGGATTAAGCAGCCAATACCCAGAATCCCTTAGTTGAAACATGATTGCAAGCATGAGGCACACTCATCTACTTTTCATGCGTGCAGCAGGTTAGGAATTCAAATAAACCTACTTACGCATTAAAAACAAAACATTTATGATTGGGGACCTCTGGTTTAGGGACCGTAAACAACTGATTTCGGGTAAGGAGATCAGTAAAGAATTGTAGAACTGATGAAGTGACAAGGATGCTTTTTTTTTAAAAAAAGAGGAGCGGAAACTCTGCATAGGAGTCCCATTTGCAAAAAAAGTTTTTAGAACACATAAAGCTGGGATCTAAAGGCAGAGATGTGGATCCAAAGGCACTTACAGGTTGAATGAATGTGTCAATCATTCTGCAAATCCCTGGGTTTCAAAGATATTGCGGTGAAGGCACATTGGAACAAACTGGGAATCTACTCTTTAATATTCCATAATAGGATTAATATAGCATATTATTTCACTGAGCCAGTGGTAGGATTCAAATATGTGAACAATCGGTTCTCTGTGTGGATGCCGCTTCCAGAAGTCCATTCTGGGCCTGGGCAACAATAAATTAGCTACCAGTTCTGCCAAAGTGGTGTGAACTGGCTGAATCTCACCACTGAACTGAGCCTTCATACAAGTGGAAGAGAAGCATTTTTTGTCATAAACCTTGCACAATTTGTGCCTTGGATATTCATTTGTTTTCTCTCTTTTCCTCCCTATCTTAAAAAAAACCCCTCCAAAACATAGGAACAATAGCATCAGTTAAGGTGACTAAGAGAAATTATTATTTATTTATTTACTGTGTAGACTTATATTCTGCCTTGCTTAGCACAGCACTAGAATATATTTATCCTTCCACTTGACCCTGGCACCAGATAGTTTTCCTTTCCAGGTGAGATGTTGAAACTGATGGATGAGCTAGTTAAAGCCATCATCAATCAGTTACTGGAGATCAAATCAAAGTAGTGAAATAATATCCATTTAATATCTATTTAAATACTGTTACCCCCAAATCCACACAATCTTAACAGAAAATAGCTCTTAGAAGCATGTTGTGAATAAGCCACAGGAGCTCTCTAAATAGTTAATAAGAAATAAAAAAAAATCCATTCATTTTCTTTTTTCTTTTTTAAAAAAAGTGGAAATTAAGAGTCACCACTTCTATAAAGAAGATAAAGAATTCTATTCTATAAAGAATTCTATTTAAGCATTAAAAGTTGTAGAAATGAGGCATATGTCCTTGGCTGAGATATTCAGGAGCCATTACCAGATAAAAATGTTAAAGCATTTTTTAAGCTCAGAAAAATGAGATAGCACTTGGAAGCAACCCATGCAGAAGCCTCCCTAATTCACTTAAGTATAAGGAGGAGAAAGAGGTAAGTACAATCAGACTTTTATGATTCTATTATTACAAGTGGTCCTTGCTTAGTGACTGCCTTGTTTAGTGACTGTTCAAAGTTATGACTATTGGGAAAAACAGCTTTGTGACCAATCCTGGCATTTATGGCCATTGCACCGTCTGCGGTCATGTGATTGCCATTTGGGCACTTTGCAACCAGTATGCATTTATGACTGCTGTCAGAATGGGACAATTTGGTGTGGCCAGCTCGGTGTGGCCAGCTTGGCGTGGCCAACTCGCCACTGCTAAGTCATCACAGGACAATTCAACGTGGACAATTTGTCACAGTAACAAGTGGGAAGCCAGAGGGAGAACTGGGTGGGCAGAGCAGCAGCAACAGTGGGGGCTTCCCATTTTCCCATACCCCCACTGCCACTGTTGCCATGGGGCATTCATTAGCAGTGGTGGTGTTCAGGCTGTTCAATGGCAGTGCTGGTGGGCATGGTGGGAAGATGGCAGAGGCTGGGTGCAACCCATTTGATACATACACCATCACCACTGCTGCCGCAGGCCATTTGTTGGTGGTAGCGGTGGGCAGGGTGAGTGGCAGAGAGGTAGCGGAGGCAGGTGCATTCCATTTTCACACACCCCCACCACTGTCGCCACTGCATCAAATTCCCGTTTGGCATGGCAGCAGTGACAGTGTGGTATGTGAAAATGGGAAGCCCCCAGCCACTGCTGCTACTCTGCACTCTGCCCACTTGCTCACTCGCCTATCTACCAGGCTCTCCCTTTGTGGGGAGACCCTGGCCACCACCACTCTGCACTCTGCCCACTCACTAACCACTTGGGTCTCCCTCTGGCTGTCCCTACCAAGTTTTCCCTGTGGTGAATTGGCCATATTGAGTTGTCCTAAAACAACTTGGCAGTGGTGATTTGGCAGAGGTGACTTGGTGGTTGTGCCAAGCTGGCCACTCTGAGCTGGCTGCACTGAGTTGTCCTAGATCTGATTGTTGCAGCCTCCTGCAGTCACATGTTTGCCATTTGCAAGCTTCACAACAGACAGTAAGCATTAAGGGATAACATGCAAGAGAAATTGCAAGTCACAATCATATGATGTCTTGCTTAAGGCATCATATTAAACAAATTGTGGTGATTTGTTTAATGGCAGAAGTAGGTGTGCTGTCATAAGTCTGGTACAGTCATGTGATTTTCTACTTAGCAACCACATGCTCAGTGATGGAATTGTCAGTTCCAATTGTGGTTGGTAAGTGGAGGATTATTTATATATCTCAATCTCAAAGTTTTAGCCTTCCTGTGGAGTTAAACTTTCTGGTCTGGTCTGCTTAGTAGGACTGACAAAATTTCTGGTGAAGAAATATCTTACATGACACCCAAATGATGCTCACTGAGCATTGGAATCAGGGAAGGTGGGAGGCTGGGTGTCAATTCCTGTCTCTCTGTATAATTTATAGTTTTCCAGCTTTTGTGACAAAAGAATTCTGGGCTAAAATTTTATTTAGGAGCAATAAAGTGTTCCAGTCCCAGGAGGAAATCATGATTTATTTTCATACACAGGAGTAATTTGTGAAATTACAGGGAATGGTCTCACAAACCTAGCATTCCGTTACTTAGAGGATTGTGTGGAGGGGAGGAATCTGTGAGAAAACCAGATGCTATGCCCAACAGCCATGGAGGGAGCTGCTGGATGGTGATGATCAGCAGAATGTTCTGGAAGCCTTGACTTGATCCTTAAGACATTGAGTGGTTTGAAGTTCTGGGAAAGAATGAATGGCCTATGGAATGGAAAGGGTTGAGAAGTGTGTGGTAGTTAATATGGACGATAGCTGTATCACAAATACAGCTGTATAAGTGGCTTCAATCAGCAACATTTGAGTGGAAGCACGAACTGAACTATAATAAGCAAATTCAGCCATAGGTAAAAGTCAAGCCAGTTGTCTCAGTGATGTATACAACAACCACAAAGATATTGTTTTAATGTGGTATTTGTTATTTTCATTTTACCACTGTGGAGGATAGTTTCAATTCTGATATAGTTGAAATAAAAAAGTATGGTTGAATCTAAGACTTTTTCAGAAATAAGATTATTCTTATGGTTTCAGAAAACCTGAAGACATCTAAGGAATGGAGAATGGACACAACATGGAATAAAATAAGCTGTTTAGAGAAGTGATCAAATAACACCAAAATAACATCAAAACCATGGTAGATAAATTATAAAATCTATGTCTATGGAGATTCTCAATCATCCAGGTCATGGTTGTCTCAAACGTGTTTTTTCAAGAGGCAACTGGACTTTCTTGCTTTTCTCTGAAGATGTTTCACTTCTCATCCAAGATGCTTCTTCAGCTCTGATTGGATGGTGGGGAATGGAAAGATTTATATTCCTTGCAGTCAGTTGGTCATTTGTATTCTTTTAGAGAATCATTGAGGCCACTTGGAGGTTTATCTGTGTCCTTGGGGTCACCTGATAAGTGCAAACGGGTGTGGTGCCTTCTTATAACTGCTGAAAGGACTATATTGTAGGCTGGAGAGTATCTTCCCCCGCTGTTGAGAGAGGGCTGTTCAATTTTGGTATAGACCCCTCTTTCAAACCAGTGGTCCTCTGTCCAAAATGCTTATTTTGCTGTCTTCAAAAGAATGGCCTTTATCTTTTAAATGTGAATGGACTGCTGAATCTTGTCCGGATGGGTTTGTTCTCCTATGTTCTCCTATAACAGTGATGGCGAACCTTTTAGAGACTGAGTGCCCAAACTGCAACCCAAAATCCACTTATATATCGCCGGGTGCTGGGTGGGCGTGGCCCGCTGGGTGGGTTGGCCCACTACGGTGGTCATGGCAGATGGGTGGGTGTGGCCAGCTTGATGTGGCGAGAGATGCCTGGGGGGGCCGGCCAGGATTGGGGGAGATCCAGGAGATCTCTGGTGGGTGGAGTGGTGGGCAGGAGGCTTGTCCTGTGGGATGAGGTGAGGCAAGACAAGGCAGGGTGGGGCGGGGGTGCCATTGTCGCAGGGCAAGGCGAGACGGGCCAGGGCGGCTGCTGCCTGACACCATCGGCCCCCGCACACAGAGGCCAGCAAGTGCATGGGTGCTGGGATGCATCCGTCTACGTGGGGCCTCAGCGGGCAGCTGGTTGAAGAGGATGGCTGCCATCTCTGGGGCATGGCACACGTGCCCACAGAAAGGCTCTGAGTGCCACCTCTGGCACGCGTGCCATAGGTTCGCCACCACTGTCCTATAAAATCCAAGGAAATGCTTTTCCAGGGTCCTTGAAAAGAGGGAAGTAGAAGCAACTGTCCATTCAGAACCTACAATTATGGTGTAACAGTTTTCCTATTCCCAAGAAAAATGGAGGAGAGAGATCAGGGCTTCTGCTGAAGGTCATCTGTCTGAGTGTGCATATGTGGTCCTGTTCTTACTGTGTATGGAACTGATAAGTCAAGGAAAGAATT